ATATCGCCGCTTTATGAATTTAGCAAAGCAGTTTCGTAGACTGAAATAAAAACAGCAACAAAATATTATGCAAATGCAATATTCGAAAATAAAAGAGAAGATCTGGAAAAATCGGAATTTCGGAAGAAGAAAGAAGTGATAAAGAGAAATAATGGATATATTATGATAAATGACTGATATTACAAAAGAAATCCTTCAGTAGCAGGACAATTCTAATGCAACAATTTTAACACAGAACACATTTAAGGAGGAAAAGCACATAAAAGACGCATTTGAGCATTTTATTCAAAAATATAAAGTTTCTAATATCTTGTGTGTGTTCTTCCACAATGTGAAAACGTCGCTATATAAAGGAACAAGAAGATTCGCTGAAAGTTTTCTATTGTACGGAATGTTTAAATTGTTTCTCAAAAGCGAGCACATGCGCTTCGGGGATTGAAATGCAATATTTTCCACTCGATAAAAATGATACGCACTAGAATAATTTCAACATATCAAAAAGTACAATATTTATTCGACTAGAAAATTAACATATGTACATTACATCACGGACACAAAATTCGATCTCTTTTTATATTTCATTCACGGATATACATTTATTATCACCGAGGCAAAAATATTTAAATCAAGATCGAGACTTTTTATTCTCGCCATCGGGCGAGAAAAAAATCACTAGAACGCGACGTAATAAAAATAGAAGCGCAAAAGTGATAAGTCCAGGCAAGATCATGCGCAGGCAAGACGAAACAAAATTGAGAGAATAGAGAATAAATAAAATTTCGGCGAAAAGAGAGCGAGGGAGAACGCGATGAGAAATTGGGGACGAAAGAGCAGCCTCGAATCGAGAGAGCGAGTGAAGAGAAAAGAGAGTGAAGGGAGACGAGGGCGAGAGAGGGTGAGAGAAGCGAGGGTTGCAGACGCGCCACGACAAGGGTAAATGTACGTACGAATGTACCCGGATTGGCTTCGGGATGGTTTCCATGGAGACCAATTCGCTCGGCCCGGGGAAGTCGTCGCCGCCGCCACCATCGCCGCCACCGCCACACCACCACCACCACCACCACCCACCACCACCACCACCACCACCACCACCACCACCACCACCACCACCACCACCATCACCACCACCACCACCACCACCATCACTGTCACCCTCCTGACGCCACTGACGCAGCTTTCATCCCGGAAAATCGTAGCGCTTCTAAACGTCAAAAAGTTGAAAACGACCGGTCCGTTTATTAATCGCGGCAATTCACGCGCGAAATCTCCATCTAATATAATATTTAATCTGCTAAAGAAATAAAATCATCAAAGAGATAGAGAGAGAGAGAGGAGAGTAAGTCTCCTTTGACCTTATCAAATTACCTGATCGCGCGATTGAATTTCAGCAATATACTTCCGGTAGTATTAACCTTTGGCCTCTCGAATTTTATATTTTATGACAATGAGCAAAGTAGCTCTATTCTTTTGTCATTTGGGAAAATAAGAGAGAAACAATTATGCAAATTTATAATATAATATGTTAGAAATAAAAATATTTATAAAGGTAAATGCAGAACATTGTTTACTTAACGAAAGATATGGCTAAATCGCTCCTATTATAAATAACAAAGATAGAGAATCTATTGCTGTAAGAGCCAATATATAATGCTTAGCAAATTTGCCAAGATGAGGAACTATCTCAAATCGAGATTTTATAAGTTCCTCTTCCTTCCTAACAAACCTCCTAAATTTCCTAAAATTAATAGAGACGAGAAAAATATATCGGTCCGAAAAAATTATTTACTTAATTTTTAATATTATTATTTTTTAGAATATCTAATACACTAAAATTGTACAATTTGTACATCGTATATAATAGAAAAAAGCTATATACATATATTGTAGAAAAACAAATGTATCTATGAACAAATTCACTTTTCACAGAATTGCTGTAAAAGATTGAAAAATACATTAAATTGATACATACATAGCAAAAAACATACATGCAGATCTAATTCATTCTTTTTTCAGAACTCGTATTTATATTTAAATGCACAATCTTTTAATTGGAAATATCGTTTATAAACATTAACAGGTTTTTTTCCGGATATCAATTTTTTGTTTGAGATATACTGCCGTGTAAAAATACGTATGAAAATACGTTAATAAATTTATGAAAGAAAGTTGATGCTGACGTGGCTATGAATGGAAAATCAAGAATTCTCGTGACGCGACGATGAGAAACTTGAGAAGGAATTTATGACGACGTCGATAATTTCGTACTTAGTAAAATGGGATGACATCATCCCTGCTATTCGGAATTCGACGTAAGCAAAAATTCATGATTTACATTGTCGGGATATAATTTTCAAAGTTTAAAAAGTCGATATTTCTCCAGCTATTATAGATAGTATCATCGGGAATAAAAGTTTGCAGAGTTAAAAAATCTCGCAGCTATATACCTACAAGAAATAAATTTGTGAAACAAAATTCTGCAAAAAATATATCGTCTTTTTAAAATATAAAAATAAATATTGTCTCTTTAAATATAAAAAAGTTAAATGTACGTAAAGTGATAAATATAAGGCCAACTTATCGAGCTGAATATTCGAGATGTTCAGTCAACTACCATTTATTACATGTATAAATTATAAAACTACAGTCATTATATTAAAACTAACGCAAATTACAATCATTCTATAAACGTTTCGACCGCACGCGGTCTTCTTCAGTATAATTATTGAAATATAAATTCTTACAATTCACATAATATCGAAATTTAATTATAGTTATTCAGAATCAAGAGTTTTGAGTAATTAACGCGTGTTTCAATCCGTCCTGTCCAACAATGTTCGCCTCGATATGATCCCTGATTTTGTTCAGATCTCGGATAGTTTCATCGTTAATATGCGAGAAATTAACCCGTTCCGTAGGCGCTGCGATTAATAAAAAATTACCGATCAACGTATGTCCAAATTATAATATGTATCCCCTACAACTGGTAGTATGCTTACCTATCATCGTTCTTCTTGACAATTTTGCTACTTATTAACAGTTATTAAGGATGACACATAACAAACCAACAATACAGAAAGACAGCTCATTTTAAACTCTACTTGATCGGAGAGCGTGCGTGTTTATATATGATCTAATATCTATGTTTTACTCGTTAATGTCCTATTTGTCCTATTATTATTTCTTGTTCGCTAATATATCCAAAATATCAAAATACGACTCGCTAAGTAACTCAGTATCTTTGTTTAAATTTAGTCCATTTTTGTTCCTTGATATGTAGCATCTCAGAAATGAGTCTTTTATAATAATTATTTTCGTTGTCCATGATCTTAACATTGTCCCAATTAAAAGTATGATGTTCATTTATTATGTGTTCAGAAATTACTGAATGTTTCGTTGAGTCCAACCTAATATTATTTTTATGTTCTTTTATTCGCGTCTGCAATTGCCTCTTTGTTTGGCCTACATAAGATGCATTACAATTATTGCAACTGATCTTATAAACCACATTCGAATTGCATGGATGTTTAGTTTATCTTTCTGCGCTTTAATAATATTATCCAGTTTGTTGAGACATCTATACCCTACCATACAATTTTTATTTTTTACCGAGGAAAATGTACGTACCCGATAAAATATTATATATTTTTATTTCAATAGAAATACAATTTCAAGTATAATGGAGAATAACAGTGTATAAAAGTTAAAGAATTCTTTTTTTTTTTTTTGAAAATTTACACCAGGACTCCGACGAACCGAAAATTGTGTATGTAAAAGAGAACAGAAAGTTGCGCTACTTACCACTCTATACATATACATTACCTCGGTATAAACTGAGTAGAGTGAGATGTACATTTCTGCCAGACATAACACGCATATAAACTCCGCTCGTCCGTTAACGGAGCGTTAACTTCAAGTTTGCAAATTGAGCGGTCGCAAGGGGCGATAAGATTACGGCAACTCTTGTGCATACAGAGACACGATCGCCTCTATTAAAACAGTCCCTTCAGGGTAGCGTTGCTGCGTGAAAGCGTTCTGATTATATGCGCGAAATAGCGCTAAATAATCCCGATATGATTTCGTTGGCCCCACGATCTGTTCGTCGACCATCTGGCGTTATTGCTGAAGCGAATAAATATATATATATATATATATATAAATATGTATATATGCATATATATACACATATGTACGATAGTCGGATACAACGAGTATAAAGGGAGAGAGCCACCCCTTGCTGCGACGAGGCAACTTCCGCAATTTAGCACGGAACGACGTTCCAAACTTCTTTTAGGGGGATGAAAGCCCATGACGAGCCTTCAGCCTTACGAGAAAAATATTTTTCTCTCCGTTGAAGGAGAGTAAAAGCAAGAGCAGTAGTCTCGGCGGTAAACTCGCGTACGCGTTTAACAACATTTGCGTCAATATTATCGCAATATCTCCGAGAGAAGTGAAATAACCAGACGCATTTTGCTCTCAGCTGATAATTGGCTTTTATTAAAAATAGAGATAATCTTCGATCACATATGCAACTTATGTCAGGCAATTTTTGTAACGATAACGTCGACGATGTATTGTTATACGTCAACACCGACGGTTTTGCGGTCCTCATCGTTACAATGCGTGAAGCACGGAGACGTATGATGCCGATGATTTAATAATCTACGGCAGACAACATTGCTACGGTGCATCAAAAAATATATATACATTTTATTTTGCGGTTATACGCATTTAAAGTTCAGTTTTTTCGGCGATCTGTACCGTCCGTGACGGAATAGAATTTTTTCATCTATTAATTTTCATGTAAAAAAAATGAAAAACTTAAGCAAATATATACAAATGCAAAATATATCAAGAGGTGCATATATATTACATAAAGTTATAACTAGGTTTTTGTCGCGAATTTCTAGATTGTTTCAAGAACTCAAGGTATTTTATATACATATTTGTATGTGTGCGCACATATGTGTGTATGTGTCTGTAAACATAATAACGTGTAAAGCTTTCACGCTTTCATCTCACACGACTAATGACAATACTTACGTTCGCGAACTGTTGTAAAGAGAGATTCGTGAATCTGCCGACTGTGATTGTTAATTGCTTTTGCGACCTCATTATCAGAAACAGCAGGATTCGACTCTCGTTCGGAGCCAAATCGTACCACAAAGACTCGTATGCCGCGTCGCCGATCATTTTGCTCTGGAAATCGAAATGGAGAATCGGAAACGCGCGAAAGAGGGATGGAAGGGGGTTGAAAAACTGTAAATTGCGATTGCCCACCTTGATGCTTAGATATTCGCCGGCGAAGCAGAAGATGAATGCTTCTAAATTGATGACGACGTAAAACAAAAGGGATCTCACTAGCATAGAGGAGCCTTCTTGGGCGCCAATCGACTATAATATTTGAAAATTATGACCAACGCACACACACTAAATTTTTTTTCTATCGCAATAATTTGCGTTACAAAGGTATCGAATTTACGAGCTGTTGAACGCTTAAAATTTAGAACGCCGCTTATAAATTATAAACTTAATACACACGTGTGTATCAGATATATGTACGTATGTGTCATCGAAGCGACTTGATTATTGATTTGTTGTATTGCTTTGTGCACGCTTTGAAAAAGTTACTCACATTCACGATGATAAAGCCCAAGCAGCAAATAACGAGGGTGTTCGATATGAATTGTGCCAGCGCGATATACGAGTATAGAGCTTCGATTTTTTCCGTGAAAACGATGATGTTTTGATGCCTTCGGATCAACGGGCCTATTGTGACCATGGATATAGTCGGTTTCTGACTCCTCGGTAAAAGTTCTAATAATCTTTCACGTAGAATATCTATCTGGCCGCCCGCATGTAACACCTACAAATTTCATCCCGTTATCCTGTTTCAAAATCAAATTAGATAATGACGTGTTCACGCTGAACTAAATTATTAAATTAATAAATATTTATTTCAATACTGCCTAATAAATTATTTATTTAAAACAAATAAATATTTTTCACATCAAATCAATATATTATTAGTTTCATATAAATGATTTATAAGGCAGTATTGAAAGAAATATTTATTCGAATTCAATTCTTGTTTTCCAATACAGAATCTCGCGCGCGGATAAAAGATTACACTAAAGAACGTAATAATAATTATTTTACGCGGTTGAATAAAAATCCAATAAACTTCTTGAAATAATTCTTGCTACGGAGAAGGGCTCGGAGAATAAATTTCCCAAATAATTTTTTCCAGACAGATCAAAACTTGTCGCACGAACGATCCCAGTGATCGCGAAAACGCGGATCTAGACATCCCTCGGGGTGCGTTTTTCGAGGTAATCTCAGTTGGGAACTTGAAAATCCCCCGAGGAGAGAAGGGATGGGAAAAGAGGGGAGCGAGAGAACCCCTGGGGAATCCCGGGGCTCAACTTACCAGCGTAACGAGCAGCGCGCTGAGCACGCCGATCACGGTAGCGGATGTTATCTGATGAAGGAACTGCGTGGTCATGACAAGCTCGTAGACCGGCGACGTGCCGCTCTCGAAGGGTAACTCCATCTTGAGGAAGAGCTCGCGGTCGTCGGCGATGCCGTCGTCATCGCCGCCGCTCAGAACGACGACGCCGATACCGTAGACCATCACCGCCACCGAGTGCAGGCCGATGATCAGATTGGAGAATCGCTGGGACAGACCGGCCACGCTGTTCATGTTGCCGCAATCTTCCGGGGTCCCGCACTCCTGCCAGTCGCTCGCAATCCTCTCTAACACGTCGTTGAATATTCTAGGGAGAATCAGTTTCGTGGAGCGTCGCGAGAGCGAGATTGTTCCCCTTCGAGGACTTTGAGGAAACTATTTTTTTTTTCTTTCTGAATGGGACGATGAAGACGGGACAAGATGGGTCAAAGATGCCAGCATTGATATTACATTGATGGCATCATTTTAATATATAATAATGATTGCTATATGAGATAAATGCGGAACACGTTATTTATAAATGTCGTTGATGCGAGAAAAGAAGTACATTATATATATATAAAATATACTATAATATATTGTGAAACCAATGATAAATGATCAGGTAAAGTTTTCTTGTTGAGAGACAGAAATCGCTAAATTATTAATATTCTGACAGGTAGCATGACAGGTGCGTGCGAGCTGCTTTGTACTATCTAATCATTCATTCGATTTGCACGACATTTCGTCGAGATATGATATACGCGTTCACCGAGTAGCAACGACGTACCGTTGTTTCGTCCAGAAAACAATCAACTTGACACACAACAAACTGTACGACAACGTCGCGCTCAGGCCGTCCATCAGCTGTTCAAGCTCCTCCGAGTTACAGTGTACTATGACGTGACGATACTGAAAGGTCTGCGCGGCCAGCATTGTTGTGGTCCAAAAGACCCGACTGGCGATCGCGTAAGCGGTACCTGGCCAGATACCGACTACTCGAAGACCGATCTCGATCGGGCGGGTAATTGTGTTTGCGAACATCGTCCTTCGAACTTGTCGCGAACCGTCCTATGACATGACTGAACGATGCGGAACTTAAGTAAAGTTATCCACTCTTGAAGAAAAGGAAAGAGACAACACTCGGAAATTTTTAGATCGATATCATCGAAGGAGCGAGTTTATCGACAGTTTACTGCAAAATCAATTAATCAGCCAGGATATATAGGGCGATAAGAATCGCCGCGTCACCAACCAAGGGAAAGAGTGTTCAAAAAAATGGACACCCTACTGGGAGCTTGATCGAAGAGCGCGAAAGGAACATCAGCGTCTTGGAACAGATCTATAGGCGGACACGAGACGCGCACCTGTAGACGCTGCGGATGAACTGACGGATACCGGAGGGTCGCAAGGTGCCCTACCATTCGTCGACTATCGTCGATCGCGGCAGGGGGCAGCTCATTAAATATTTTTATCGTTTCTACGTATGGTGAAGTTGCATCAGCGGTGCGTTGTCAGTGCAATTGCCGATTTTGCGAATGGAAAGGGAAATCGAGGGGCCGTTCTTCCGCCGTGCAGTCCACAATTTTCATTAAAAATGTACGATCGGAGGTCGGAGGTCGACGTTGGCTTACAGTCCATTGAAAATCATGCGCATTGATCTGAAGAAAAACCAAGTCTTTTCAGGGATCATATCGACGAGGAAGAGAGAGTCTTGGAAATCGGAAATACATTATATCGCAGTAATTTTTTACCCCGATATATATATATATATATATATATGTATTATACATATATCTATAGAGATAGTAAATATATATCATAGATATATTATCTCATATTCAAATTATATTATATTACTAATTTGTGTGTATTACACTGTTTCAGAGCATATATTCGGAGAAGTATCGTATTACATACAATATGTATTGTATTTCTAGCTTGTATTTTTAACTAATAATTTATATATTGCATATAAATTTTAGTTGGAAACTGATGAGATAAATCTATTGCATCGCCAATAATACCGATAAGTATGATCCCGCAGAATTCATGATCTATAACAACATGCATCAGAGAGTTTAATGTACTTGTGACTTTCATATAAGTACATTTAAGCATTTAATATATGGTTGCGAGAACTTTTAAACAATTTATGTAATAAAGAGGAAGACAAGTAAGTTTGAATATGAATTTGAAAAATTACATATTATAATAAATATAAATGCAAGGATCATAAATTTTTATTTGGCATAATATATGGAAATCTTACGGTTGCGAAGCATTGTAACGAGAGATCCGTCATATTCCCAACTGTGAGCGTCAATTGTTTCTGCGCTCTCAATATTATGAATAATAAAATGCGACTTTGTTTAGGCTCCAATTCGTACCAGGCGGTGCTGTACGCGGCTAATCCAATTGCCTTGCTCTGACAAAGATAAGAATTATACAGATTATATAAATATATATCAACATTTTCTCGACAATTTTATTGTAATATTTGCACGATAATCATATAGAATTATCCGTCTATTATGATAATAATTCTTATGGCTAACCTGATTCATCAGATATTCCCCAGCGTAGCAGAATACAAACGCTTCGATATTTGTCACGCAGTAATACGAAATGGCTTTCATTATCCTTTCTGTCGCGTCGGGATTGCCGAGTGCCTGAGACATTGAAACACATACGCGATGAATGATTCGAGGTATAAATAGTTGTTTCTTTCAGTGCAATACGAGATATAGGAGAATCAATAAGGTATATATACATGCCATGGTACAAACACGATGCCAATCGCGATTAATTATGGGACAATTAATTTTGTTTAATAAATATAATTATTTTTTACTTATAATATTTACTATATATTTATATTTTACTCTACTCACTGTTACGACTAAAAATCCTAATAGGCAAATCATCATCGTGTTTGTTGTAAATTGTACGAACGCGATGAACGTATACAAACTTTCGATATTTTTGCGAAGTAAATAATTTTCTGATGCTTCCGGATGATTTTCTCTGTCATCAAAATGATGACAGATTTGCCTGTGTCCGCTTTGGACATGAGCTCAGCTAGCCAAGAACACAGGATATTTATCTGGCCACCTACGTGTAGGATCTGAAAAGAAAGAGAGAGAATTCAAATAAACCAGGTAAAATGGAGATTTGGTAAAGTAAAGACTCGAATTTAATTAACAAGTCGTAAAAAATATTATAACTATTAATAATAAATTTAGCAAAACACACAGAACTGTCGTGTCTGACAAGGCAAATGTATACCAATTAAATTTTCTATTGACGCTACTGATTTTATTTTTATTAAAATTATTATAAATGTAGATAGAAATTCATCTTTATTAATTGCATATTTTTTTTGTGTACGACTTACCAAGATTAGCAACAAAGCGTTTATTATACCCATGCCCCAGCTAGTCATGATGAGATGTAACCATTCCAAGATTAAGACGACTTTATACGCGCCTTGCGTGTTTATACTGAAAGGCATTACTGCTTTGTAAATGTGCGGTAGGTCGTAGCTCGTATAATTGGCGATGTCAACATTGTCCAAAATGATGGAAATGCCGTAGAAAATCACGAGAACCGTATGAAGAGTTATGATCATGTTTGTGATATAATTAGATATCTTCTCTTTGTTTAATATCTCATGTATTTCGACGTCACTATTGGTGCACTCATTCCAATCTTCCGCCATCATCGTCAAGACTTTGTCGAATATTCTATGCACGATTGCATATATTTCAAATTTACTGACCATCGTACATTTAAATTAACTAACTGTCTCGAAATTGAACGCATGATAAATAAAGTATATTTAAAAAAAAATATGAATAAAAAATACACATAAAAAATATAATAAACAATAGGTGAAATACGTAACATGTACATTTAATGTACATTAGAAATTCGCGCACGCATAATTGAAGCAGATAGTTACATTTTAAATAAAAACAATATATATATATATATATATATTGGTTTATTTTATGTTTAGACATATATTATATTTTTGTTTTATATATAATATATATTTAATTATATCATTTTGTGTTCAATCATATAAACCCATAATTTTATTTCATATGTATGTATATTTTTATACAAAAACACAAAATGATATATCATTATAATATATCTTCACATATTATGTACTTTATTATTATGTATCGCATTACTCACCGCTGATTGAACCAAAACAAGCCAAACTTGAACATTAATTTGAGAAATCCTAAAAAGGTACTAACAGACTCCAACAAATTGAATATATTGTCATAACTGTAATTTTTGACGATATATAGATAATGGCAGATTAGGATCATTGCTATTGTAACAGTCCAAAATATTCTGCAAAACATAATGCATGATGCATTTGGCCAGATACCGAATAAGATGAGCGCAAATTTTGTTACACGATTAATTGTACTTTTACGCATCATAATTTCGTATTGTTTTCGTTCGTGTACATCCACATATATGTGTATATATCTTTATGTACAAACAAAAATACAAAAAGATGTATGAAAGCACTATAGAAAAAAAATTCGCGGAAAAGAAAAAGAGAGATATAATATCGCCTAAATGTGTATATTTGTCAAATGACAGCTCGACGTTGTATCATGAAATATCGGCGCAAAGACTGAAAGATTGTGAGAGGTCAGTAAACGAATGCATCCTGGTACAAACGACCAATAGGAGCCGCTCATTAAATATTTTTATCGCACTGCACACTATAAACGCATATCCGTCGTTGTTTTCCCTTATTTTGATAAAAGGAAGAAAAGAAAGGTAGAAAATTATTTCCCTCCCCTTTTCGTGAGTATCGGTTTCGTAAATCGCGAATTGCTTGCCTCGAGTATGCAATAATTTATGCAGGACATAGACAGAGCGATGTATGTCCGATGGTGAATCACGTTCCGGTGATCTTTGGAAAAGTTTCGATATCTAGAGGGTGAAAAGACCTCAAAGAGGGAACAGAAAATTAAATTACCACGAAACGTGTATACGTGTATTTCACCATGTAACATTGGAACGTGCATTTGTGAGCAATACTTGCTAAGTAATCAATAAGTAGAATATCGAGATTGGTAAATAATGACGGCAAACTATTGTAAAACAAAACTGAAGTATATGCGTAATATAGTGTTAATATTGGGGATATATTTATTCGAAAAGGATTAATCTCTTTCTCCTTCTTTTTATCTAACATTAAGTAGAGGTATATTATATTTTATTTTTGAATTGAAATTTAGAATCCTCATACTATGATATTTAGATATTATTTACTATGCCATTTTTAAATTATTATTATTCTAGTGAATGTATTTGGAAAAATAATTTTGTATTTTGGAATATGTATTTTTTTTACCTAAGAATTTTCATATTACAAGTACGACGAAGTAAATACGATATTCATTGCATCGCTAGCAATACTGATAAATAGGATTCTGAAGCATTCATGATCTATAATAATGTTATTCTGTGCATTATAGAAGAATATAAATATATTTTTATAAGTATAAATTTTTAAAAACTTAAAACTTTAAAACTTTAAAAATATATAATATATTATAATAATATGATGATATATATTGTATTTAACATACATGTATAACACATTTTTATATATATTATATATATATATATATATATTATATCAATCAATAAGCATTTTTTATTATTATAGTATTGTAAAAATATATATATGTATATATTTGAATTGAAATTAAGACATTAACATCTTTTTATACTCACGCTTACGATGAGAAATGCAGTAGCAAATTATTATCGTGTTCGACACGAATTGTAGCAGCGCGATATACGTGTATAAATTCTCAACTTTTTCCGAGAAATTGATGATTTTAAGCTTTTTGATAATTTTATTCGTCATAAATAATGTTCGTTTCTTTCCGTTCTCATTTGATACAAAATCCACCAACCAGCCAGTATATTTATTTGATCTCCTATATGTAAAGTCTGAAAATAAAAAACAATCTCCGTGTACATAAAATTTTCTACCATTATTACAATCCACGAAAGCTCTATATTCGAATATTAGACGGAGAACATAGTAATAAAGTAATATGAGGCATGAAAGAAACTTGTAAAAATAAGGAAAGAGACTCAGAGAGCTTCAAATTTTGATCTATCGTCAAACAGTTTTATTTTCTATCCTGAAAATTATACATCGTTTTCTTATGCACCAGAGTTAAGAGCAAAAAGTTTACAGCACCGGAAATTTATTTGTACATGATGTCGTATAGACGAATTGTGCGATCACGAGCGTTTTGTACACCCTTTGCGTGTTCACGTCGAAGGGGAGTTCCATCATGTGAATATAGGGTAGCGCAGACGTGCGATTGCTGATATCGACGTTGACCAAGACGTCCAAGACGGTGTGTGTTCAGTACGCTTAATGCGTGAACGAGAATTGCATTGGTGATGCGATTCGACAATTTTGCTTTGTACATTATCTCTTGCATGTCGATTTTACTCTTGGCGCAATCATACCAGTCTTTTGCCATCATCGTCACAGTTTGGATAAATTTCCTGCGGACGTGTCAATTTTATCCTGTCATACAGTTCAGCATTAAAATGCAGTTCTTTCAGCTTTTAAATTTTTCTTTTGTTTTTGTAAAATTACACTGCAGCACGTGACATGTATTGTAAAATTAATATTAAATGTAATTATATCCCAGCGTGATAAATTAATAGATTCTCTTTTGACAATTGCATCAACAAATATAATATTTGAATATAATTTATTAATATACCGATTGTATTACTTACCGTTGATTCAACTAAAATATGTATTTTATATAGAGAAAGAGACATAGTAGATGTATATTATAAAATATATTCTTTTATATTCAAATTATTCTATATTACTAATTAAAACTTTTTGTGTCTTACACTGTCTCGGAGCATATATTCGGAATAGTATTGTATATATTCTATTACATACAATATATATTGTATTTTTAATTTGTATTTCTAATAATTAATAATTTACATATTGGATATATATATTTTTCAATTTTAGTTGAAAATTGGCGAGATAAATCTAGTATTTATTGCATTGCCAATAAGACCGATAAGTATGATCCCGCAGAATTCATGATCTATAACAACGTGCAAAGAGTTTAATGGATTTGTGACTTTAATATAATAACATTTAAACATTTGAGGTATTGCAGGGAGAAGTAATTTAAACAATTAATGTAATAAAGAGTAAAACAAGTAATTAAACACATATATTTAGGAAATATATTACGATAAATGTTAAATGTAAAAATGCAAGAATCACAAATTTTTATTTCGTATAATAGAATACCTAATGAATGGAAATCTTACGGTTGCGAAGCATTGTAACGAAAGGTCTGTCATCTTCCCAACTGTGAGCTTCAACTGTTTCTGCGCTCTCAATATTATGAATAACAAAATGCGACTATGTTTAGGCTCCAATTCATACCAGGTGGTATTGTATGCAGCTAATCCAATTGCCCTGCTCTGACAAAAATAAAATTATAATGTAGAGATCTTAAATAATATTATATATCAAAATTTTCTTAATAATTTTATCGTAATATTTGCAGGATGATTATATAAAATCGTCCATTATCAATCATAATCGTCATCATTCTTATGGCTAACCTGATTCATCAGATATTCCCCAGCGTAGCAGAATATGAACGCTTCGATATTTGTCACGCAGTAATACGAAATAACTCTCATTATCTTTTCTGTTGCGTCGGAATTTCCGAGTGCCTGCGATATTAAAATACGTCACACGCGATGAATGATTCGAGGTATAAGTAGTTGTTTCTTGCAGTGCAATGCGAGATATAGGAAAATCAATAAGGTAAATATACATGTCATGGTGCAAACACGATGCTAATCGCGATTAATTATGTGATAATACAATAAAGTGAAAATACAATAAATTTAATTATTTGCCAGAATTGGTCGATTGAATTACTACCATTTTATAATTAATTTTGTTGAATAAATATTTATAATAAATAATTATTTTTTACTTTTAATATTTAATATATATTTATTACACTAATATACTTACTGTTACGATTAAAAATCCTAATAGGCAAATCATCACCGTGTTTGATGTAAATTGTATGAACGCGATGAGCGTATATAAACTTTCAATATTTCTCGTGAAGTAAATAATTTTCTGATGCTTCCGAATAATTTTCTCCATCATAATGATGACGGATTTGCCTGTATTTGCTTGGGATATGAGCTTCGCTAGCCAGAAACACAGGATATTTATCTGGCCACCTACGTGTAAGACCTGAATAGAAAGAGAATTAATATGAACTAAGTAAAATGAAGAGACTCAAATTCAATTACCGAAGAAAAATATAATGTTATAACTATATAAATAATAAATTTGGCAAATACGGCACAGACGTATTTGGCAAAGCAAATATGTAGATGTACCAATTAAGTTTTCTACTAATTTATTATTATTATTTTTATTGGAATTATTATAAATGTAGATATGTGTGTGTATATATTTCTATGAATTGCGCATATTTTTTGTGTACGACTTACCAAGATTAGCAGCAAAGCGTTTATTATACCCATGCCCCAGCTAGACAAGATGAGATGTAACAGTTCCACGACTAACACGACTGTATACGTGCCTTGCGTGTTTATGAAAGGAACTACTGCTTTGTAAATGTGGGGTAACTCGTAGACCGTATAATCGGCAACATCAACGTTGGCCAAAACGATGGCAATGCCGTAAAAAAGCGGTACAACCGTGTGAAGAGTTATCATCGCGTTGGCGACATAATTCGAAGTCTTCGCTTTGTTTACCGCCTCCTGCATTTCGACATCACTTTTGGCGCAATCATTCCAATCTTCCGCCATCATCATCAAGACTTCGTTGAATATTCTACGCGTGATCGTATACGATTCTAATTTATTAATCACCGTATTCTTAAATTGTCTCGAAATTGAGCGTATGATAAATAAGGGGTACATATAAAAAATAAATATAAATAAAAAATACATATAAAAATATTACAATATAGACGAAATACGTAATTTTACGTTTAATGTACATTACGAATTCACGTATGCATAATTGAAGTAGATAGTTTGCATATTAATGAAACTCGATATATGCATGTATATATGAAAATCGATATATGCATGTATATATAAGCTTACTTTATAATATTTTTTATATTTAATAATATTCCGCGTTTAACAATATAAATTCGTTATTTTACTTCATATATATTTTGTATAAAGTAAAATAAAAAATTCATTTATTGTTAAACAAAGAATGATATGATTATTACAATATATTCTCTCATATTGTTTACTTAATTAGCTGTGTATTACTCACCGCTGATTCAGCCAAAAAAAACCAACCTTAATCATTAATTTTAAGAATCCCATAAAGCTACTAAAGCAGTCCATCAAATTGAATACGTTTTCATAACGGTAATGTGTGAAGAAATATAAATAATGGCAGAGTAGAACGATTGTTATTGTAATGAACCAAAATATTCTGCAAAACGTAATACACGATACATCTGGCCAGATACCGAACAAAATGAGCGTAAATTTTGTCGTACGATTAATTGTACTTTTACGCATCATAATTTCGTATCTCGCTTGCTTTCGTTCGTGATCCAAGTATTTCGTACATTCAAGTATATGCATATATATATATTTTTTTGTGTGTACAAATGAAGTATACCAAGCTGTATGAAGACACTAAAAAAAAATTCGCGGAAAAAAAGAGATATAATTTCGTCTAACTGTATATTCGTCGAATGACAGCTCGACGTTGTATCACGAAATATCGGCGTAAAGACTAAAAGATTGTGAAATCTATAAAAACGGATGCATCCTGATACGAGCGACCAATAGGAGCCGCTCATTAAATATTTTTATCGCACTGCACACTATAAACGCACATCCGTCGTTGTTTCCCTTATTTCGATAATAGAAAGAAAAGAAAGGTAGAAAATTATTTCCCTCCTCTTTTTGTGAGTGTCGGTTTCGTGATCGCGAATTGCTTGCCTCGAGTATGCAATAATTTATGCAGGACATAGGCAGCCCGATGTATGTCCGATGGTGAATCACGTCCCGGAGATCTTTGAAAAAGTATCTAGAGGGTGAAAAGATCTCGAAGAGAGAACAGAAAATTATATTACCACGAAACGTTTATACGTGTATTTCTCCAAGTAACATCGGAGGAACATGCACTATTTGGTAAGTAATCAATGACTAGAATATCGAGACTGGTAAATAATAACGACAAGCTATTATAAAATGAAACTGAAGTATATGAGTAACATGGGTGGGAAATGATTTAATAAGGTGTTAATATTGGAGAGATATTTATTCAAAATGGATTAATCTCCTTCCATTTTGCCTCTTTTTATTTGTCATTAACTAAAAGTGTATTATATAATATTTAACTTTTTTAAATTAAAATTTAAAATGCTCATCATACTACAACATTTAATTTTTTTATACCATTTAAATTATTCGTATTCTAGTGAATGTATTTGAAAAAATAATCTTTATATTTTGGAAAGTGTATTTTTTTTACCTAAGAATAATCATATTACATTTGTTTTATTACAAGTACGACGAAGTGAATACGATATTCATTGCATTGCTAGCAACACTGACAAGTAGGATCCCGAAGCATTCATGATCTATAACAATTATTAGTATTATGAAACGTTATTTTATAAAATATATTTACAGACTATTAGTAAAAGAAGGGCATAAAAATATTGACTTTAAAAATCAAGTGTGTCGAAACTTGATAATAACAATTCCAATTAATTGCGTATAAATAAATCAGTTGTAGAACTGCCGACAAAAATTATTGATTTTTCACGAAATCTTACGCTTGCAAAGGATACTAAGGAAAGCTCCATCATCTTGCCAGCTGTGAGTATCAACTGTTTCTGCGATCTTAATATGACAAATAACAATATACGACTATGTTTAGGCTTCAAATTATACCACGGGCAATTATACATTGCAAATCCGATAGCTTTGCTCTGCAAAAAGTAATGGCTATATTTTTAACATTTTTATTTTATACTTTTTTATATAAGATTATATGGAAAATAGATTATATCATATAATTTTAATTGTCATTTTGTTGTAATTATTATTACAAAAACCTTATTGCTTAAATATTCTCCAGCATAGCAAAATATATACGCTTCTAGATTTGTAATTACGAGAAATAAAAGACATCTTACAAGTTCCATTACATTGGAAGTGTCAATTGCCTAATAAATAATTAATTAAATTAAATTAATAAAATAATTAACAAGATATATGTAAAAAATATATACTATTTGCATATTAATTAATGAATCGGAACATAATTTACTGTTATGAGAAATGAATAATTTTCTTCTTGTAGTATTTAGTTAATTTACTCACGATTACGATGAGAAAACCTATCGAACATATCATGGCCATATTTGAAGCAAATACACACAGAGCGATGTGCGTATATATAATTTCGATATTTTCTGAAAATTGGATAATTTTTTGATGCTTTTGAATAATTTTGATTGTCCCGGTGATTGATTCTTTCTTATTTTCAATCTCTTTGAATATAAACTGCGAAATCCTACTTTCTAAGATTTCCATTTGGCCTCCTACATGTAAGATCTGAAAACAGCGATACACAATTTTAATTTCAAAAAATCATTATTTACTACAAATTTTTATAATTACGCATAAGAAATTAGATTTGATAAATGCTATATTCGAGCAGTGAAAAAAATTCTCGTATTCCGAATATAATATGCAAAATTTATATCGTGAATTATATTATGTACAAATTTGACGATATAGACGTATCATTATTTTCCTAAATGAAATTTCTTCCACATTTCTTTACAATATAATTTAGATATTTATTATATATATATATATATATATATATATATATATATATGTATTAATATTCCACATTATACTAAACAGAACAATTTAATTATTCATTATAAAAATTATGAATTTTGTAATTATATGTTTTTCGTAGTTACCTATACAGTTGCAACTTACCAATGTCAAAAGCATGGCGTTTGCAAAACCGGCTACCGTATTAAGGAAGATTAGGTGCACAATTTCTGTCAGTAATACAAGTCTATATGTGCGCTGGGTGCTAACGTTGAAAGGAAGTTGCAACGTGTTGACGTAAGGCAATTCAATCGTTTGATCGGTAGCATCTGCATCTTCGAGAACGACTCCCATGGAATATGCAATGATAGTTGCCACATGAAGAATAAGTATTGTGTTAGTGATACGATCCGATAACTTTGCTTTACGTATCATCACGCGCAAACTTACATCACTATTAGCGCAATCCTTCCAGTCATTCACGATTACCGCCAAAATTTCCATTAATTTTCTGTGAATAATTGCATTTTTTGATTATGATGTCAGAAAAAATCACAAATAATCTCTCCAAAAACTGTGCCATTCCTGACTTATAAAAAACACCGCTTTTTCTTGTACAAATTTCATCATGCATATTTTTACAGTTTTCTATCATTTTTCCCCGAAACAAAACAGCAATAAATGAATCCATTGTATCATTATAAAGAAAGATAGTCCATTCAATTTTTCTAAATTTGATTTTAATTTACGCTTTTATAATGGGTTTACAGTGTAATTAAATCTATCAAGAAATAAATAAACGATAAAAAATTATTTCTAATTAATAATCTCATACGAATTGTCTGCTAAATATTACTTATTTATTTTACTTACTGCTGATTTATCCAAAACATAACGAGTTTAATCAATACTTTGACTTGCGCCAGAAAGCTGCATAAGCAATCCACCAAGTTGAAAAAATTCTCGGAACTTAAATGCGTTGAGACATATAAGTAATGACAGAATCCGGTGAATGCTAATGTAACTATCCAAAACAGTCTGTTAATTAAAATGATTGATCTTCCTGGCCACACACCGAACCAAGGTAGCATAAACATAATTACAGGGCTAATTGTACTTTTACGAGTCATAGTTTTATATTTCTCTTTGTGTTCGCTTTAAGTGCATTAGAAAACATGTAACAAAATCAAATCGAGATAAAAGGAAGCTACTCTGTCGCTCAATATGTCTTTCGATGACAGCACAATGTATATCATTTAATATCTGTGTAAAGACTGACTGGCTCTGAAAGATGCACCCTCGGAAAATTGACGGATAAAAGTTGCTCATTAAATATTTTTGATATGCGTGCAGGCTTGTGTAATACAATATCGTCGTGTTTCCTTGTAATTTTTTGCAGCTGAGGAAAAAAAGAATATGTAAGAGGTATTCTTTATTCACTTCGGTCACTTACATTATACTTCATAATATTGGTGAAGCGCGTACGTTAAATACGTAATGATACGTGCGAAGGGAAATGTATACTTCTGTGTTATCGACGAAATTAAAAATTAAAAATACACTTTTGTTATGGCATAAGATAAAAAGAATCTTATCTCATTAGTTATGCTACCGCATTGAGACTGTCGATTGCCCGCACTATTGTGCAGAAATGGTATACAAAAATTTATTTAATATAAACTATACAGCATATTGCATGATATCTGTAATAAAAAGTAACTAAATTTATCAGAATACAATATTCAAAAAAATTGAATAACGTTTAATTCTTTTTTAAACGCAATAAAAAAATTTAAAAAAAAATAACATTTGATTATTAGCTTTGCAATTAATTAAACGCAATCACAATAATTCAATATACTAAACAATATTACTCACTGCTATAATAAAAAAGCAAATGCAACAAATCATCACTATATTTGACATACGATATATGTATAGAGACATTCGAAATTTTCCGAAAAATTGATGGTTTTTTTCTGCTTTTGAATAATTTTTTGTTATTGTGATGATGATTGATTTGTTCTTGCAAAACGCAAAGTGCATCAATAATCACAGAATATCGATACCGGTTGCATTGTCTTTTCGTGAAGTCGACTAAATATTCGCGAATGCTAAAGAAAAAAGAAACGAAAAAAACCGAGAAATAATATTATCGAAGGGAATCGAAATCTGATAATATAAATATCTGGTTTCAATTTCTATATCTATTAAAGTGATTGCAAAACGCATACAACGATTAGTTGCTACGCCGACTAATCCCACGATTATCATTCAAATCATGCGCAACCTCGCGAGTATATCTGTTTGTGTATTATTATCGTAACTTATCAAAGTCAATAATAGAACGTTTGTTGTACCAGCCTAACAGGCTTCAAATGCAAGAATTGTGGGATTACAATATTAATCTATATATGCGTTGCGTGTTTATGCGGAAAAGCAATTATAATTTGGTACTCAGAAGGATACTTTTGGTCATTTAATCGATGACATCGAATCGGTCAAGAAGATACAACATGCAGAAATCGTGAAAAATAATGATCGAGACGATTAGATATTTCATCTTTCTTCAATGTCTTGCGTTTATATTAGTACATAATTGTTCCAATTTTCAGTCATTATCGTCAGGATTTGGATCAAATTATTTGCAAATAATTTTATATTAATCAATTATAAATTAATTTAGATTTTTGGGAAGAATACACGGTGTGTTCTAACTAGATGCCATAAAGGAATATAAATTTCACTGTAAGTTTAAGCGTACTTCGTCGAATAATTTTTTACTTTTTGTTGCATTTATAATGTACCACATACAAATGCGCTTAAAAATATAAAAATAAATAAACTCTGATTAACTATATTTTTCGAGACAAACAATTTTTCGAAAAATATAGAACTTGCGTAACTTTGAAAGTGTTTAAAACATTATTAAGCAGATGCAACCAACCAATCGAAATTTCTCATTAATTATTTTCATATTGCGTGTATATATCGCGCACGTAGTAATGACTTTTCGCAAGTTGCATGAAGAGGGAAGATAGGTGGTTATTTTTTCTTCTCTCGACCGCAGAAAATGCAACCGTAAATTGTTTTTTAAATATGCAATAATTCGTGGCATGATGTGCACCTGACATACAGTCGTTTCAGCGATTATTCGCGACTTATTTATTTTACTTACTGCTAATTTATTCAAAACACGAGTTTGACGTGTGCCAGAAAGCTGCATAAGCAGTCCACCAATTGAAAAAATTTTCAAAATTTTAGTGCGTTGAGATATACAAGTAATGACAGAATCCGATGATTGCTATTGTAACGATCCAAAACCACCTGTTAATTAAATTATTCTATCTACTTCTGTGTGTAACTATACACCGCACCAGGACATAAACTCTACGTGGCTAATTGTACTTTTACAAGTCATAGTCTTATATTTCTCTCTGCGTTCGTTTCAATTGCATTAGAATATGTGTTTTTCGATGATAGCACAATGTATATAATTGAATATCTGTGTGAAAATTGGATGACCCTGAAAGATGCACCCTCGGAAAATCGATGGGAGTTGCTTATAAAATATTTTTAATGTGCGTGCAAGCATCTGATACAACCGTCATGTTTCTCTTGCATATGGAAAAAAACAAAATATGTAAAAGATATTTTTTATCTACTTTGGAAATTTATAATGTACCCCGTAATATACTTGTGAAGTGTATGTTGAATACGTAATGATACGTGCGGAGGAAATTGTATTTCTTCCCACATCAGAGAACGTTCTAATCTTCGATTTTTCTCTATTGTGACCAGCTTCTTTTGTAGAAATTGTTAATCGACAGAGAAAAATAAATGTCATTTCGAAAACAACGTAAATAACAAATTGTAGAATTTAAGATGTATTGTTTTACATTACCATAGTTTAATTTGTTATAATTTTGTATGTTATTCTGTCAATTATTTTTTTCTCAAAAGAAAAACAAAAATATATTTGAATTAATAAACACAATGTTACATACGTGCTGACTTAACTAGTGAACACATATTTATATATCATCTATACATGCGTATGACTATTGATGAAAAGCTGAGGTGAATACGATGTTCGTTGCATCGCCAACATCATTGACAAATAAGATCCTGAAACATTCATAATCTATAACAATATTATTTATATTATTTATATTAGAAGTTAATATTTTCATAGATGAAATAATAGCAAGAAACGCGCAAAGATGAAATGTTTCATTGAAAATCAATTTGAAGACAAACAAACAAGTTTAATTGTGTATATAAAATAAATTTCAGCCGTAAAACCATCGACAAAAATTATTATTTTTCATAAAATCTTACGCTTGTAAAAGATACGAAGGAGAGCTCTATTATGGTGCCAGCTTTAAGTGTTAATTGTTTCTGCGATCTCAATATTATAAATAATAAAACACGATTATCTTTAGGTCTCAAGGTGTACCACGGACAATTATACGTTGCAAATCCGATTGCTTTACTCTGCAAAATAAATATATTCCTAACATTATGTTTCTTCATCTTATATTTTATATACAAAACACAAAAATTATCTAATATAATTTTAATTGCTTATTTTCTAATTAATCTCACAAAACCTTGTTGCTTAAATATTCTCCAGCGTAGCAATATATAAACGCTTCCAGATTTGTAGTTGTGAAAAATAAAAGACATTTTATAATTAGGTTGACGGCATCAGGAAAGTCAATTGTCTGAAATAATGAAGAAGATAATAATGACGATGTAATAGTAACAATATATGCATATTGTTTTATATAATAATTAATGATTAGAACACAATTTTTATGAGAGATTTATATTTGTGATAGATTCTTTCTCTGTAATATTTGATTAATTCACTCACGGTTATAATGATAAAACCTAACATACAAATTGATAGTGTATTCGCTGCAAATAAGATCAAAGAGATGTATATATACAGAGCCTCAATATTTTCTGAAAATTTGATAATTTTTTGATGCTTTCGAATGATTTTATTTATTGCCGTTACAATTGATTCTTCTTTATTTCTAATCTCGCTGATTGTAAACTTCGATAACCAGCTTTGCAAATCTCGATTTGTCCTCCTACATGAAAGACCTAAATGGAAATTCACAATTTTAATTTAGAGTAATCTTTATCCACGAAGAATTCTTTATAATCATATATAAAAATTAAAATTAATAAATGTTTTATATTTGAGCATTTATTTCGAAAGAAATATCTTTAGCTTCTAAATTTGATGTGCAAAAATTAATTTGCGATTTATATCTGCGCAATTATATAGCGTACAAAGATTCGATGAGATGTCACAATTTTCTGAATTATGCTTCTTCCATGTATTAAAATATAATTTGGATATTCTTTTATTTATATATCTCACATTATATATTTTACATTATATTAAAATTTAATTATTCAAAAGTTCAATTATTATTATTATTATTATTTTATTATGATTATATTTTTTTATTATTTTATTGCCATTAAAATTTTATTATCATTATGATTTTTCCATAATTGTTCATACAGTTGCATCTTACTAATATCAAAATCATGGCGTTCACAAGACCAGATGTCCAGTTAGACATGAACATGTGCAAGAATTCGGCGATTAATACAAATCTGTACATGTTTTGTGTGTTAATGTTGAAAGAAAGTTTCATGTTGTTATGTAAAGCAATTCAGCTGTTTTGGTAACATCGGCATTGGCGAGATGATTATGGAACATATAAATAACACTTAACGAGTTAAGAAGAATTATTATTTTACTGATACGATCCGATATTTTTGCTTTTTCCATCGTCACATGCACACCGATATCACTATTAGCGCAATCCTTCCAGTCGTCCGCGATTAATGCCATAATTTCCATAAGTTTTCTGTGGATGATTGCGTTCCTTGATCACGCTGCCGAAGTAAAAATTGCAGATTGTCTCTCTAAAAACTGTCATCTCTAACTTATAAAGAATAGCATCGGCGCTATTTTTCTTGATCAAAATTTTATCAAGAATATTCTCCAATTTTCTATCGTTCCTTTTTTTTCGAAGCAGCAGTAATGAATCAAATAAAAAGACAATTGCTAAGAGAGATAGTATACCCAATTTTTTGAGTATGATTTTGATTTGATTTGCGGTTTATAATTACTTTATAGTAGAATTAAATCCGTTAAACAGGTAAGCGATGGCAAAGGAAATTATTTTTAATTATTCTTAATAATCTATATAAATTATATACAACACGTACAACACCTATTTGTTTTACTTACTGTTGATTTATCCAAAATAGAATAAGTTTAATGATTACTTTGCCATGCGCCAAAAAGATGCAGAAGCAATCCACCAAGTTGAACAAATACTGGGAACTTAAATGCGTAAAGAATAGTAGTAATGACTAAGCTACTATGATAAAGTATTGATAAAGCTACTAAAGCAGTCCATCAAATTGAATACGTTTTCATAACGGTAATGTGTGAAGAAATTTAAATAATGGCAGAGTAAAACGATTGTTATTGTAATGAACCAAAATATTCTGCAAAACGTAATACACGATACATCTGGCCAGATACCGAACAAAATGAGCGTAAATTTTGTCATACGATTAATTGTACTTTTACGCATCATAATTTCGTATCTCGCTTGCTTTCGTTCATGATCCAAGTATTTCGTACATTCAAGTATATGCATATATATATATTTTTTTTGTGTACAAATGAAGTATACCAAGCTGTATGAAGACACTAAAAAAAATTCGCGGAAAAAAAAGATATAATTTCGTCTAACTGTATATTTGTCGAATGACAGCTCGACGTTGTATCACGAAATATCGGCGTAAAGACTAAAAGATTGTGAGATCAGTAAAAACGGATGCATCCTGATACGAGCGACCAATAGTAGCCGCTCATTAAAATTTTTATCGCACTGCACACTATAAACGCACACCCGTCGTTGTTTCCCTTATTTCGATAAAAGAAAGAAAAGAAAAGTAAAAATTATTTTTCTTCTCTTTTTGTGAGTGTCTGTTTCGTGATCGCGAATTGCTTGCCTCGAGTATGCAATAATTTATGCAGGACATAAGCAGTCCGATGTATGTCCGATGGTGAATCACGTCCCGGAGATCTTTGAAAAAGTATCTAGAGGGTGAAAAGATCTCGAAGAGGGAACAGAAAATTAAATTACCACGAAACGTTTATACGTGTATTTCTCCAAGTAACATCGGAAAAACATGCACTATTTGATAAGTAATCAATGACTACAAATCGAGACTGGTAAATAATAACGACAAGCTATTATAAAATGAAACTGAAGTATATGCGTAACATGGGTGGGAAATGACTTAATAAGGTGTTAATATTGGAGAGATATTGATTCAAAATGAATTAATCTTCTTCCATTTTGCTTCTTTTTATTTGTCATTAACTAGAGGTGTATTATATAATATTTAATTTTTTTAAATTAAAATTTAGGATGCTCATCATACTACAATATTTAATTTTTTTATACCATTTAAATTATTCGTATTCTAGTGAATGTATTTGGAAAAATAATCTTTGTATTTTGGAATATGTATTTTTTTTACCTAAGAATAATCATATTACATTTGTTTTATTACAAGTACGACGAAGTGAATACGATATTCATTGCATTGCTAGCAACACTGACAAGTAGGATCCCGAAGCATTCATGATCTATAATAATGTTATTCTTTGCGTTATAAAAGAATATAAATATATCTTTATAAATATAAATTTTTAAATGTTTTAAAATATAATACATAATATGTTTTTACATATACATATATTTTATATTTATATATATATTAATCATATCAATCAATAAGCAATTTCCAAATTTTGCTTGTTCATTAATATAATTAAATTTGTAAAATAAAAAAATTTAAATCGTGTCATAAAAATATGTATATATGTATCAATAAGCCTTTAAAAAATTGTAATCACCGTACATGCAATTAATATGCAAAATTATTTTATGTTAATTATGTTGTTAAACAAACGAATAATTCTTACACTTGCGAAATATTCTAAGGAGAGATTCGTCAATTTTCCAACAGTTAGCATCAGTTGCTTTTGCGATCTTAATATTATAAATAACAAGATTCGAGTTTCTTCAGGTTTTAAGTTGTACCATTTGGTATTATACGCTGCTATTCCGATTGCTTTGCTCTACCAAAAATAATAAAATAAAAACATTTTTATTAACTTATTTGTTATACCCTCATATCATAATTTTGATAATAATATTTTTTATTATTCTTTTATTAACCTGACAATGTCTTATTTAGCCACTAACCTTGTTGTTCAAATATTCTCCAGCATAACAGAAGATGAAGGATTCGAGGTTCGTTATAACGTAAAATAAGAGGGATCTTATTATATGCTCCGTCGCGTCCGGTGTTCCAATTGCCTGTAATATCAAAAAATGTACCCAAAAGAGTTTAGCAGGCTTGCGAAAAAACTAAGAAAATCGATATATATCATTATCGAAACCAATTAATCGCGTTAGCAAATGCGCAATAACAGCAGCAATTTTATCGACTAGACAGTGTCTTAATTAATGTCTCTTTACTCACGCTTACGATGAGAAATGCCAGAGAGCAAATCATTATCGTGTTCGACGCGAATTGTAGCAGCGTGATGTACGTGTATAGATTCTCAACTTTCTCCGAGAAGTTGATGATCCTCTGATGCTTTTTGATGATTTTATTCGTCATGAATAAAGCTCGTTTCTTTCCGTTCTCATCTGATGCAAAATCCGCCAACCAGCCATGCAGTATATTTATTTGGCCTCCTATGTGTAAGGTCTGAAAATAAAAAAAAATATCCGTGTATATAAAATTTTCTATAATTATTACAATTCACGAAAGCTCTATATTCGAATCCTAGACGGAGAACATAGTAATAAAGTAATACGAGGCGTGAAAGGAATGAAGTTTTGATCAAATTTTTATCAAATTCTGATCTATCGTCAATTTTCTTTTCTATCTTGAAAATTATACATCGTTCGTTTATGTGACGCACCAAAGTTAAGAGCAAAGAGTTTACAGCACCGGAAAGCCAGCTGCACATGACGACGTAGACGAATTGTGCGATCACCACCGTTTTGTACACCTTTTGCGTGTTCACGTCGAAGGGAAGTTGCATCTTGTGAATGTAGGGTGGCTCGGACGTATGATCGGTGATATCGACGTTAGTCAAGATGATGCGTGTTCCGTACGCAACTACGCTTAAGGTGTGCAAGAGGAGGATCGCGTTGGTGATGCGATCCGACAATTTCGCTTTGTCTACTATCTCCCGCATGTCGATTTTACTGTTGGTGCAATCATACCAGTCTTTCGCAATCAACGTCATAGTCTTGATAAATTCCCTGCGGATGTGTCAATTATATCCTATCGATTGCAAAGAGAATCGATTCGAAAAATCTTATAATTAGAGAGCTATGGTCTTTAAACGTTATAACAAGCAACTCTCATGATACAATTCAATATTAAAATTTCAGTTTCTTTTAGCTCTGTTATTTATTTATTTATTTATTTTGTAAAATTAAACAACAACATGTGGTATATGTTTTGTAAAATTAATATCAAACGTAATTATATCCCAAGCGTATATATAATCTAATTGCGGACACAATGCAGGTAATCGGATTAACAAATAAATTATAGATTCTCTTTTGGCAATTGCGTCACCAAACATCAAATTTGGACGTAATTTATTTATATACCGATTGTATTACTTACCGCTGATTCAACCAAAATATAGTAAACTTGATCATCACTTTCGTGTACGCTAGAAAGCTACTTAAACAGTCCATCAATTCGAAAAGATCGTCGGTGTAGAAATGCGTTAGAAAGTATCGGTAATGATAGAATTGCACAATTATTATCGAAATAATCCAAAATATTCTGCAAAGTAGGACGCATGAAATACCTGGCCAAATTCCGAACAAGGTGAAAATGAGTTCTATCGTACGATTGATCGTACTCTTATACATTGTAATTTTTTTTGTTCTTCTCTTTTTATACGAGCGAGTGCGTGAAAATTATACGAATACAACAGTTTTCAGTAAAATAGAAAAGAATGCACTTTCGAATGTGTATATCTCAACAGGACATATTGAGAGATTACGGAATTATCGCGAATTGTCGCGTTAAGACTGGGCGATCCCGAGAGAGCAATATACGAATATACCCCTGGACAGTTGACCCGATAGAGAATTTCTTCATTAAATATGTTTATCAGATCGCGTGGAGACCACGTAAAATACATTTGTTGTGAGTTCTGAGAATTTTAATCAATAGAAGGGAAATAAACGCGTGTATGTGTGTATACGTGACGAGGGGATCATCGCTTTTCCTTCATTTACGCAAATTACTGTCTTTAAATATGTAATGAGTCAGGCAGAAAATACGACGGATATATATGTTTGATTGCAAGTCGCGCTCAGTAAGCTTTGGAAACAATATGAAGTTTAAAGAAAAAAAAACGAAAAAGCAAGTTGTGAAATACTGCGAATCTCTTATTATGTAATGCATTATTACATTAGTGATTCGATCTGAGAAAAATTACAATTTTTTTTCTTAAGAAATTGTGGGATTTGAGAAGGTACTATTTTACATTACAATTTTGTGCGCTATAGCATTATATGTTGTTCTGTGAATGATATTTATTTCTCAGAACAAAAATATATATTCCAGAGACAAATAAGCATGAAGTGTTACATATGTGTTGACGTAACTAGTAAACACATATTATCCTGTGTTTCACGACTATTGATTGAAAATGCTTGAGGTGAAAAATGATGATCATTGCATCGCCAACATCACGGATAAGTAGGATCCCGAAGCATTCATGATCTATAACAATTATTTGTATTATGAAATGTTATTTTATAAAATATATTTACAGATTATTAGTAAAAGAAGGGCATAAAAATATTGACTTAAAAAATCAAGTGTGTCAAAACTTGATAATGACAATTCCAATTAATTGCGTATAAATAAATCAGTTGTAGAACTGCCGACAAAAATTATTGATTTTTCATGAAATCTTACGCTTGCAAAGAATACTAAAGAGAGCTCCATCATCTTGCCAGCTGTGAGTATCAACTGTTTCTGCGATCTTAATATGATAAATAACAATATACGACTATCTTTAGGCTTCAAATTATACCACGAGCAATTATACATTGCAAATCCGATAGCTTTGCTCTGCAAAAAGTAATGGCTATATTTTTAACATTTTTATTTTATACTTTTTTATATAAGATTATATGGAAAATATATTATATCATATAATTTTAATTGTCATTTTGTCGTAATTATTATTTCAAAAACCTTATTGCTTAAATATTCTCCAGCATAGCAAAATATAAATGCTTCCAGATTTGTAATTGAGAAAAATAAAAGACATTTTATAATTTGTTCCATACCATCGGGAGTGCCAATTGCCTAATAAATAATTGATTAAATTAAATTAATAAAATAATTAACAAGATATATGTAAAAATATATACTATTTGCATATTAATTAATAAATCGGAACATAATTAACTGTTATGAGAGATGAAGAATTTTCTTCCTGTAGTATTTAGTTAGTTTACTCACGGTTACGATGAGAAAACCTATCGAACATATCATGGCCATATTTGAAGCAAATACCAACAGAGCGATGTGCGTATATATAATTTCGATGTTTTCTGAAAATTGGATAATTTTTTGATGCTTTCGAATAATTTTGATTGTCCCGGTGATTGATTCTTTCTTATTTTCAATCTCTTTGAATATAAACTGCGAAACCAACTTTCTAGGATTTCCATTTGGCCTCCTACATGTAAAATCTGAAAACGGCGATACACAATTTTAATTTCAAGAAATCATTATTCACTACAAATTTTTATAATAACGCATAAGAAATTAAATTTGATAAATGCTATATTCGAGCAGTGAAAAAAATTCTCGTATTCCGAATATAATATGCAAAATTTATATCGTGAATTATATTGTGTACAAATTTGACGATATAGACGTATCATTATTTTCCTTAATGAAATTTCTTCCACATTTCTTTACAATATAATTTAGATATTTATTATATATATATATATATATATATATATATATATTATATTTATATATTAATATTCCACATTATACCAAACAGAACAATTTAATTATTCATTATAAAAATTATGAATTTTGTAATTATATGTTGTTTTTCGTATAGTTACCTATACAGTTGCAACTTACCAATGTCAAAAGCATGGCGTTTGCAAAACCGGCTGCCAAATTACTGAAGATTAGGTGCACAACTTCTGTCAGTAATACAAGTCTATATGTGCGCTGAGTGCTAACGTTGAAAGGAAGTTGCAACTTGTTGACGTAAGGCAATTCAATCGTTTGATCGGTAGCATCTGCATCTTCGAGAACGACTCCCATGGAATATGCAATGATACTTATCACATGAAGAATAAGTATTGTGTTAGTGATACGATCCGATAACTTTGCTTTACGTATCATCACGCGCAAACTTACATCACTATTAGCGCAATCCTTCCAGTCATTCACGATTAACGCCAAAGTTTCCATAAATTTTCTGTGAATAATTGCATTTTCTGATTATGATGTCAGAAGAAATCACAGATAATCTCTCCAAAAACTGTACCATCCCTGACTTATAAAAAATACCGCTTTTTTTTGTACAAATTTCATCATGCATATTTTTACAGTTTTCTATCATTTTTCCCCCGAAACAAAACAGCAATAAATGAATCCATTGTATCATTATAAAGAAAGATAGTCCATTCAATTTTTCTAAATTTGATTTTAATTTACGCTTTTATAATGGGTTTACAGTGTAATTAAATCTATCAAGAAATAAATAAGCGATAAAAAATTATTTCTAATTAATAATCTCATACGAATTGTCTGCTAAATATTACTTATTTATTTTACTTACTGCTGATTTATCCAAAACATAACGAGTTTAATCAATACTTTGACGTGCGCCAGAAAGCTGCATAAGCAATCCACCAAGTTGAAAAAATTCTCGGAATTTAAATGCGTCGAGACATATAAGTAATGACAGAATCCGATGAATGCTAATGTAACTATCCAAAACAGTCTGTTAATTAAAATAATTGATCTTCCTGGCCACACACCGAACCAAGGTAGCATAAACATAATTACAGGGCTAATTGTACTTTTACGAGTCATAATCTTATATTTCTCTTTGTGTTCGCTTCAAGTGCATTAGAAAATATGTAACAAAATCAAATTGAGATAGCAAGAAGCTACTCTGTCGCTCAATATGTCTTTCGATGACAGCACAATGTATATCATTTAATATCTATGTAAAGACTGACTGGCTCTGAAAGATGCACCCTCGGAAAATTGACGGATAAAAGTTGCTCATTAAATATTTTTGATATGCGTGCAGGCTTGTGTAATACAATATCGTCGTGTTTCTTTGTAATTTTTTGCAGCTAAGGAAAAAAAGAATATGTAAGAGGTATTTTTTTATTACTTTGGTCACTTACATTGTACTTCATAATATTGATGAAGCGCGTACGTTAAATACGTAATGATACGTGCAAAGAGAAATGTGTACTTCTGTGTTATCGACGAAATTAAAAATTAAAAATACACTTTTGTTATGGCATAAGATAAAAAGAATTTCATCTCATTAGTTATGCTACCGCATTAAGACTGTCGATTGCCTGCACTATTGTGCAGAAATGGTGTACGAAGATTTATTTAATATAAACTATACAGCATATTGCATGATATCTGTAATAAAACGTAACTAAATTTACCAGAATACAATATTTAAATAAATTGAATAACGTTTAATTCTTTTTTAAACGCAATAAAAAAATTTAAAAAAGGATAACATTTAATTATTAGCTTTGCAATTAATTAAACGCAATCACAATAATTCGATATACTCAACAATATTACTCACTGTTATAATAAAAAAGCAAAGGCAACAAATCATCACTATATTTGACATACGATATATGTATAGAGACATTTGAAATGTTTCGAAAAATTGATGGTTTTTTCTGCTTTTGAATAATTTTTTGTTATTGTGATGATGATTGATTTGTTCTCGTAAAACGCAAAATGCATCAATAATCACAGAATATCGATACCGGCTGCATGTAAGGGTTGAGAATGAAGATTGCATTGTCTTTTCGTGGAATCGACTAAATATTCGCGAATGCTAAAGAAAAAAAAAACAAAACAATCGAGAAATAATATTATCAAAGTGCATCGAAATCTGATAATATGAGTATCTGGTTTTAATTTTTATATCTATTAAAGTGATTGCAAACGCATACAACGATTAGTTGCTACGCCGACTAATCCCACGATTATCATTCAAATCATGCGCAACCTCACGAGTATATCTGTTTGCGTATTATTATCGTAACTTATCAAAATCAATAATAGAACGTTTGTTGTACCAGCCTAACAGGTTTCAAATGCAAGAATTGTGGGATTACAATATTAATCTATATATTGCGTTGCGTGTTTATGCGGAAGGGCAATTCTAATTTGGTACTCAGAAGGATACTTTTGGTCATTTAATCGATGACATTGAATCGGTCAAGAAGATACAACATGCAAAAATCGTGAAAAATAATCGAGACGATTAGATTTCCTCTTTCTTCAATGTCTTGCGTTTATATTAGTACATAATTGTTCTAATTTTTAGTCATTATCGTTAGGATTTGGATCAATTCTTTTGCAAATAATTTTATGTTAATTGATTATAAATTAATTTAGATTTTTGGGAAGAATACACGGTGTGTTCTAACTAGATGTCATAAAGGAATATAAATTTCACTGTAAGTTTAAGCGTACTTCGTCGAATAATTTTTTACTTATTGTTGCATTTATAATGTACCACATAAAAATGCGCTTAAAAATATAAAAATAAATAAACTCTGATTAACTATATTTTTCGAGACAGACAATTTTATTGCGTGTACATATCGCGCACGTACGTAATGACTTTTCGCAAGTTGCATGAAGAGGGAAGATAGGTGGTCATTTTTTCTTCTTTTGACCGCAGAAAATGCAACCGTAAATTGTTTATTTTAAATATGCAATAATACGTGGCATGATGTGCACCTGACATACAGTCGTTTCAGCGATTATTCGCGATTTATTTATTTTACTTACTGCTAATTTATTCAAAACACGAGTTTGGCGTGTGCCAGAAAGCTGCACAAGCAGTCCGTTAAGTTGAAAAAATTTTCAAAATTTTAGTGCGTTGAGGTATACAAGTAATGACAGAATCCGATGATTGCTATTGTAACGATCCAAAACCACCTGTTAATTAAATTATTCTATCTACTTCTGTGTGTGATTATACACCGCACCAGGACATAAACACTACGTGGTTAATTGTACTTTTACAAGTCATAGTTTTATATTTCTTTCTGCGTTCGTTTTAATTGCATTAGAATATGTGTTTTTCGATGATAGCACAATGTATATAATTGAATTTCTGTGTGAAAATTGGATGGCCCTGAAAGATGCACCCTCGGAAAATCGATGGGAGTTGCTCATGAAATATTTTTAATGTGCGTGCAAGCCTCTAATACAACCGTCATGTTTCTCTTGCATATGGAAAAAAACAAAATATGTGAAAGATATTTTTTATCTACTTGGGATATTTATAATGTACCCCGTATAATATACTTGTGAAGTGTATGTTGAATACGTAATGATACGTGCGGAGGAAATTGTATTTTTTTTCACATCAGAGAACGTTCTAATCTTTAATTTTTCTCTATTGTGACCAGCTTCTTTTGTAGAAATTGTTAATCGACAGAGAAAAATAAATGTCATTTCGAAAACAACGTAAATAACAAATTGTAGAATTTAAGATGTATCGTTTTACATTACCATAGTTTAATTTGTTATAATTTTGTACATTATTCTGTCAATTATTTTTTTTCAAAAGAAAAATATACTTGAAAAAATAAACACAATGTTACATACGTGCTGACTTAACTAGTGAACACATATTTATATATCACCTATACATGCGTATGACTATTGATGAAAAGCTGAGGTGAATACGATGTTCATTGCATCGCCAACAACATTGACAAATAAGATCCTGAAGCATTCATAATCTATAACAATATTATTTATATTATTTACATTAGAAGTTAATATTTTCATAGATGAAATAATAGCAAGAAACGCGCAAAGATGAAATGTTTCATTGAAAATTAATTTGAAGACAAATAAATAAGTTTAATTTTTATATAAAATAAATTTCAGCCGTAAAACCATCGACAAAAATTATTATTTTACATGAAATCTTACGCTTGTAAAAGATACGAAGGAGAGCTCTATTATGGTGCCAGCTGTAAGTGTTAATTGTTTTTGCGATCTCAATATTATAAATAATAATACACGACTATCTTTAGGTCTCAAGGTGTACCACGGAGAATTATACGTTGCCAATCCGATGGCTTTACTCTGCAAAATAAATATATTTTTAACATTATGTTTCTTCACCTTATATTTTATATACAAAACACAAAAAATTATCTAATATAATTTTAATTGCTTATTTTCTAATTAATCTCACAAAAACCTTGTTGCTTAAATATTCTCCAGCGTAGCAATATATAAACGCTTCCAGATTTGTAGTTGTGAAAAATAAAAGACATTTTATAATTAGGTTGACGGCATCAGGAGAGTCAATTGCCTGAAATAATGAAGAAGATAATAATGACGATGTAATAATAACAATATATGCATATTGTTTTATATAATAAATAATGATTGGAACACAATTTTTATGAGAGATTTATATTTTATGATAGATTCTTTGTCTGTAATATATGATTAATTTACTCACGGTTATAATGATAAAACCTAACATACAAATTGATAGTGTATTCGCTGCAAATAAGATCAGAGAGATGTATGTATACAGATCCTCGATATTTTCTGAAAATTTGATAATTTTTTGATGCTTTCGAATGATTTTATTTATTGCCGTTACAATTGATTCTTCTTTATTTCCAATCTCGCTGATTGTAAGCTTCGATAACCAGCTTTGCAAAATCTCGATTTGTCCTCCTACATGAAAGACCTAAAATGGAAATTCACAATTTTAATTTAGAGTAATCTTTATACACGAAGGATTCTTTATAATCATATATAAAAATTAGAATTAATAAATGTTTTATATTTGAGCATTTATTTCGAAAGAAATATCTTCAGCTTCTAAATATAATGTGCAAAAATTAATTTGCGATTTATATCTGCGCAATTATATAGCGTACAAAGATTCGATGAGATGTCACAATTTTCTGAATTATGCTTCTTCCATGTATTAAAATATAATTTGGATATTCTTTTTATATCTCACATTATATATTCTACATTATATTAAAATTTAATTATTTAAAAGTTCAATTATTATTATTATTATTATTTATTATGATTATTATTTTATTATTATTCTATTGCCATTAAAATTTTATTATTATTATGATTTTTCCATAATTGTTCATACAGTTGCATCTTACTAATATCAAAATCATGGCGTTCACAAGACCAGATGTCCAGTTAGACATAACATGTGCAAGAATTCGGCGATTAATACAAATCTGTACATGTTTTGTGTGTTAATGTTGAAAGGAAATTTCATGTTGTTGATGTAAGGCAATTCAGCTGTTTTGGTAACATCGGCATCGGCGAGGATGATTTCGGAACAATATGAAATAACACTTAACGAGTTAAGAAGAATTATTATTTTACTGATACGATCCGATATTTTTGCTTTTTCCATCGTCACATGCACACCGATATCACTATTAGCGCAATCCTTCCAGTCGTCCGCGATTAATGCCATAATTTCCATAAGTTTTCTGTGGATGATTGCGTTCCTTGATCACGCTGCCGAAGTAAAAATTGCAGATTGTCTCTCTAAAAACTGTCATCTCTAACTTATAACAAATAGCATCGGCGCTATTTTTCTTGATCAAAATTTTATCAAGGATATTTCTGCAATTTTCTATCGTTTCTTTTTTTCGAAGCAGCAGTAATGAATCAAATAAAAAGACAATTGCTAAGAGAGATAGTATATCCAATTTTTTGAGTATGATTTTGATTTGATTTGCGGTTATATAATTACTTTATAGTAGAATTAAATCCGTTAAACAGGTAAGCGCGATGGCAAAGGAAATTATTTTTAATTATTCTCAATAATTTATATAAATTATATACAACAAGTACAACACTTATTTGTTTCACTTACTGTTGATTTATCCAAAATAGAATAAGTTTAATGATTACTTTGCCATGCGCCAAAGATGTGCAGAAGCAATCCACCAAGTTGAAAAAATACTGGGAACTTAAATGCGTAAAGAAATAGTAGTAATGACAGAATTCGATGAATACAGCTGCAAAGATCCAAAACATTCTGATAATTAAAACGATCGATTTGCCTGGCCAGATACCACACAAGGGTAGTGAAAACATGATCATCTGACTAACTGTACTTTTACGAGTCATTGTCTTATATTTTTTCTGCGCTCATTTGTATTCCAAGAGCATTAATAAATGTGTAACAGAACTCTTGAGATAACAGAAGAGCTCTGATAGATTTTCGATGACAGCACAATGTTTATCATTGGACATCTGAGCGAGGACTGGGACGTTTTGCAAGATGCATCCTCGAGCAATCGACCAATGAAAATTGCTCATTAAATATTTTTGATATGCGTGCAGGCCTGTGTAATACAATATCGTCGTGTTTCCTTGTAATTATTTGCAGTTAAGAAAAAAAAGTATATGTGAGAGATATTTTTTACATACTTCGGTGACTTGGACTTCATAGTCGTGAAGCGCGTACTTTAAATACGTAATGATACGTGCAAGAGGGGAAATAGACTTTTCTTCTCACAAAGAAAATGTCTTCGATTTTTTTCCCTCGTGTCCTTCCGCAGATATCTCATCAAAGAAAAAAAAAACGTAATGTTACACGAACCAACAGCAGCATTGTCCATTGATACGTTTTTCATTGATTTTGTTCTTCTTATTATACATTGTTTTTCTTGTATATTTTTGCGTAACTTTGGAAGATTTTGAAATATTATTAAGAAGATGCAACCAACCAATCGAAATTTCTCATTAATTATTTTCATATTGCGTGTACATATCGCGCACGTACGTAATGATTTTTCGCAAGTTGCATGAAAAGGGAAGATAGGTAGTCATTTTTTCTTCTCTCGACCGCTGGAAATACAACTGTGAATTATTTACTTTAATATGCAATGGTTCGTGGGGTGATGTGCATTCAACATATAGCCATGTCCGTAATTGTTTGGAAAAGTTTTCGTAATATAGAGAATGAACGCGCGAAAAATACATAAACAGCTAACATCACATTTTACGTTATTCCATTTAGAACAGTTAAAAGCAAGTCTTGTATATATTTCAATATTCTTATATTGTTGAACAAAAATAAACAAATATAAAATTTTATGCATTAAAATATGTGTAAAATAATTTTCTACTATATAAAGATAATTGCAAGAAAAGATAAAATGTGTAAATTAATTTTAATTAATTCTTGCAAATAAAATAAACAATTTGTTTTAATTTAAGTATCAAAAACAAAGAATAGTCTCTTTATTCACGGGAATTATTTATAAATATAAACAAATATATGCTTTGAATATATTTCAAAAATTATTATGACGTTAATTATTTACTTTAATGTGTACTGATTCAATTAAAAGACAATAGATTTTGTGACAACATTTTTTTGCATCTGTATTTGGAAAAATATTTTATATTACAATGTGTTTTTTATTTTAACCAATAATATAAATAACTCTCGATTTTGACTATTATTTGAAAATTAACATTTATCTAACATTATTTTTTATTGCATCGTCAACAATACCGACAGATACGATCCCGAAGCGTTCATGATCTGAAATAATTTTGCTTGTTGTATTAGAAATCAATATACCTATAATTATAATATAAGCATGCACTTTTTAAATTTTAAGATAAAAGCATAATACATATATGCATAATTCTTACGCTTGTGAAGGTTTCTAAGGAGAGATTCATCATTTTTCCCACTGTAAGCGTTAACTGTTTCTGCGATCTTAATATGATAAATAACAAAATACGACTGTCTTTAGATTTCAGATCGTACCATGCACAATTGTATGCTGCAACGCCAATTTCCTTGCTCTACAAAGATATTAACAAAAAAATGTTTGAAATTATAAATAATTTATTAATATTTCTTAATAACGCATCTATAATATAAGTATTTTTTAATAATATTCTTTTTTAAAAAGTAAGCGCACAATCTTCTTTTTCTCAATTCTTTATTATTATAATATCTATTATTATATCATCTTATAACCTTGCTGCTCAGATATTCTCCAGCGAAGCAGAATATAAACGCCTCGAGATTCGTTATGTGTAAAATAAGAGGGACTTTAGTATTTGTTCTAACGCATTGGGACTACCGATTGCCTGCGAATATTATATGATTATTTTTGACATTCTATACGTATGACATGTTAATAAAAAGTATATATATGTAAACGGAATATTTATTCATAAAAATATTAAATTTTTAATATTAAAATTTTATATTAAAAATATTAAATTTTTAAATTTAATAAAATAACTGTAAATTCATATATATTTCATAATATATTATATTACTTATATATAATTACTTGAAGGATTTTAATAATTTTATATTCAACTCACTGTTACGATAACGAAGGCTAGAGAGCAAATCATTATTGTATTTGAGATAAATTGAAGCAACGCAATGTATGAATAGAGACTTTCGATATTCTCTGAAAACTGATAATTTTTTGATGCTTTCGAATAATTTTACTCGTAATAATGTGATATGGTATACGTTTGTTCTCCTCTTTGCGGGGTACAAGCTGCAATAGCCAGGAACGTATAATGTCGATTTGACCAGCCGTATGTAAAATCTGAAAACAAATCCTGTTGAAATTGATGATTCAACCGATTGATATTCAGCAAAACAAAACATTGCGCGCATAATAGCACCATTAAAATAAATAACAAATTTCACATATCAGATTCTCCATTTAAATTCTTGAATCTATCACAGTTTCAAAACGCATCCAATAAAATTGACTTATCCGAAATTAATTTATTATATGTTATATTAAACTCAACATATTATTATATATATATATATATATATATATATATGTGTGTGTGTAATACCTTTAATATATAGATCGCTCTATTCAACTTACCAAAGTCAATAATAAAGAATTTGTTATACCAGCCGCCCAACCGTAAAAAAGCATAAATACGAATTCTATGATTAATACAAATCTGTACATGCGCTGCGTGCTTATATTGAAAGGTATTTCTAATTTGTTAAGTAGAGGTATTTCTGTCGCCTGAGTGACATCGACATCGGCTAAAATAATACGATGCAATACGCTACAATTGTCGTCGTATGAAGTGTGACGATCGCGTTTGTGATACGATCTGATATTTTTGCCTTGCGTTCTGTTTCACGTATACTGATGACATCGCCATTATCGCAATCATTCCAATCTTCCCTTATCATCGCCAAGATTCGACGAATTTTCTGTGATCATATATTAGTTAATCGTTCACAGAATGCATTGCAATTTTAATTATCATATTTTGGAAATTTATTCTTTAAAATTTGTCAGTTTTTGATATTATGAACCAATTTTTGGAAATTCTTATTTATTAAAAATAAAATTATTATTGACAAGAACGCTTAAAGTAAAAACAAAACAAAAATTAAAAATAATAAAAAACAAAAAAATTATAAGTATAAAAAATAAGCTTGTAAAAGTTGGAAATAATCACACATAAATAAAGTCTGTTGTTTATTATATAATTTTCTTATTTAAATTTATGTTATCATACATATTTAGCGCTATATAATTTACAAAAATTTCAGATTTTTGAATTCAAAAATTTTTTTTAATTATAATTATTGCATCTGTATTTGGAAAAAATTTTATATTACAATGTGTTTTTTATTTTAACCAATAATATAAATAACTCTCGATTTTGACTATTATTTAAAAATTAACATTTATCTAACATTATTTTTTATTGCATCGTCAACAATACCGACAGATACGATCCGAAGCATTCATAATCTGAAATAATTTTGCTTGTTGTATTAGAAATCAATATACCTATAATTATAATATAAGCATGCACTTTTAAATTTTAAGATAAAAGCATAATACATATATGCATAATTCTTACGCTTGTGAAGGTTTCTAAGGAGAGATTCATCATTTTTCCCACTGTAAGCGTTAACTGTTTCTGCGATCTTAATATGATAAATAACAAAATACGACTGTCTTAGATTTCAGATCGTACCATGCACAATTGTATGCTGCAATGCCAATTTCCTTGCTCTACAAAGATATTAACAAAAAAATGTTTGAAATTTATAAATAATTTATTAATATTTCTTAATAACGCATCTATAATATAAGTATAATTTTTAATAATATTCTTTTTCAAAAAGTAAGCGCACAATTCTTTTTCTCAATTCTTTATTATTATAATATCTATTATTATATCATCTTATAACCTTGCTGCTCAGATATTCTCCAGCGAAGCAGAATATAAACGCCTCGAGATTCGTTATGGTGTAAAATAAGAGGGACTTTAGTATTTGTTCTAACGCATTGGGACTACCGATTGCCTGCGAATATTATATGATTATTTTTGACATTCTATACGTATGACATGTTATAAAAAAGTATATATATGTAAACGGAATATTTATTCATAAAAATATTAAATTTTTAATATTGAATTTTATATTAA